TTCTTATCTTCTTTTTTTTCATGGTCTATGTAATTTTACAATTAATTATTTTTCATCTAAGGTTTGGATATGCTGTGCAAAATTCACACTATTCTTCCTTATGATGTACTCTTTTTTTTTTTTAATTACATATAAACATATATAGAGAAATGAATAAAAACCATATAACCTGAGCATTTTCGAAAGGTGGACCTTTCTTCTTCAGGGGCAAAATAAAGAAGAAAGGACCACCTTTCGAAAGCGCTCGAGTTATACTTGAATCTACATGTTTTTCTAGCATCACATATATATATATATATATATACACACACATATATGTACCCAAAGCCACACACATGTACATATTCACTTATAAGTGTCACTACAAAATTTAATTCATCTATTTGAAACACACTGTAACTTCATTTCAGTGCAATCTAATGTATTTTATAATCAGACACTTGTAAACTTCCATTTTTAAGCTTATTGTAAAGATTCACTGTATTTACAAACCATAGTAAAGCATAATAAATCGTCTTGTCAATTAGGCTCTAAAGTAACTGAACCAGCCTGCGTGGACTTTTGACGTAAAAGAGAATTATTTAAAGCTCTGGATATGACTGTGGTAACCCATGGGGTAATGTATGTGAATTTATCACTGATTGTTTTGTGATAATAGAGGAGAGAAAAAAAAATTCATCTTGTCAGTTGGGTTCTAAAATACTCGAACCAGCCTGTGTGGAATTTAGACGAATAAAAGAGAATTATTTAAAGCTTTATATTCAATTGTGGTAAACAATAGTGCAACAAATTTTTGTACATATGTTTGGCTTGTTTTGAATATATTATTTTAAACAAGTGGATTGTGTGTTGTCCATTTATTGTTGAAATTTATCACCAACAAGTCACAGACACGTACTGTAAAGAATCTGCCCTATAAAAAACTGACAAATATAAGCTACACTGAATTTTTAAAAATCATGGTGATTATGCCTCCACCCCATTACACACAGGAGAAACATCATGGATAGAAAGAGCTACATGTAATAAAGTTTGTAAGTATGCTCCTTGAATGTTGAAAATATGTATTAAACCAATATTTGCTGCTACACAAGTACACAAATATATAAAACTTTTCTTAAATTTCAGCTGCTACATCTAAAGATAATTTGTCAAAGTTAGCTTTTTTTTATGGCTTAGTGTATCATTAACACAAGTTCCTCTTACTTTATGTGAATCTCAGAAAAGGGTGGGTAGTATAGAGCAACAAAAAAGCCATACATGTTGGAAATTTAAGGAGAGGCGGCACAATACACAATGCTTTTATTATATCAAGGCAATTAATCTCTGAATATTGTTTAATTCTGCTAACTATGTAAACAAGTTTTTACTATTTACGTCTGTAATTGGCATATCAACAGGTAGCCTATATAAAATATCATGTATGCATCAACACTCATGAAATGAACATTTGGGTACCTATAGTGTAGTGTATATGTTATGGCTTCCACCTTTTTTGTTAATATGAATGAACTCATCCAGAGCACAGCACTTATTCTCTTCCCATGTTTCAAAAAATGCTATTTGTATTAACGATGTCATCTATGTTCTACAGCAAAAATATTCAAATATTGTTTTAACTATTTGTCCATAAAACTAACCACAGCAAGTGTTACAGGATTTCTGAGCATTACTTAATTAGGCTATTTTCTTTAGTTTATCTAAATTTCTATAATTTATTTTCAGCATATTTTACCAGATCTAACAATGAAAATACTCAAGAAAATAAAAAAAAAAAAAAATGGGGAAATTTCATAAAAATTTTGCTGTGGGAATAAGGCTAAATATCAGTCCCAAAAATAACTGGATTCATACTTTGTCAAGCTATTGGATTTATTATTTTGGAAATATCTGGAATAACATTATAGTCAGTGATTAGAATATTGTGATCTCTTTTATCAGCAAGTGTATTACATTGGGAAGGTTTATTTCTAATAATCAACGGGTAAATAATTTTATAATTTTGTGATGTTCTTGTTAGTAGTAGTAGTACAACTAACGTAGTAGTGAGAGGTAGAATGCTTGTTTTTCAAGTTTTAAGATAAATTTCTCATTAACACTGGCATTGATTTTGTTAAAGATTTTTTTCCAGTCACATTTCTTGATTTTGTGAGAGACATATTTACTCTTACTTTTTAGTTTTGGGATGGATAGTTTCATCTTATGTTTTCATTTAACGTGTAGTTAGTGTCAACTTTAACATCCTGTTACCTGATTACCAAGCTCAGCAGCAAGAAAATTACACCAAATCTTTCTTGGATATACATTTTTCATTTACATTAACAATGGCCATGTGGGTCAAAGCATGAAGATTACACATCAGCATCCAATTCTCATTTTTCTGGAGAAAGAAAATCAATCACTCACTTTATATTCTCAATATCACTTACCAGTTAAACATGCTTTTTTGATTCAGTATTCTACCTTTTAAAACTAAATTGTAGGTTTTTATGAATTTCTTTTAAAAAGTAATTCAAAACAGATATATGTGTAATGATTTGAACATTGTATTCCTTTTAATTGTAAATAGATACATGTTATTTCTCACTAAAAATAACACTGCCCTTTACTTTAGAAATAGTATATCGAATGTGTAATGATGAACAAAGGAAGAGCAAAACGTAGAATTATAAACTATATTTAACTTCAGATGCAGTCTTCATGAAGAAAAGTTAAAAATTAATGTGTTAGGAGCTTGTTAAATTTTTATAATTTCAATTTTCATGGCTTTCGTGATTTGGTGTCCATGCCCACTAGCAGTGTCAACAACAACGTTGATGTGATGATCAAGTAAACGCATCTTTAGAAAAGTAGTCAGCTGCACTACAAGTTACAGCGTCAAGCAAATAACCAAGGCAATGAACGCGATCTCTTACTTGGCACTAGTGGCACTCAGTGATACCGACTGCGGTAGCGATAGACACAGCACCGTAGTATAGCAATAACTTGTTATGTTGTTTAGCAACCTATACTTTGATTTGACCTTGAGCAGTATAGAACTAGAAGTATAACCTCTTTTACACTCTGATAATTAGTGTATAAATGCTTAACGCAATTTCACGTATAAACAAAATAGGAGTCAAAGTAAACTTTATACCGTGCTTACCAACTAAGACTGAACTTATTTCTCCTGAATTAAATCCACGTTCACAAAACTTTACTCAGGCTTAAATAAATAAGATTAACACTCAACCATAGATATAAATAACACCAGATTAGAAGTCGCGTGATTTTCGGCATGCGCAAGCAGATGCCATTGCTACGTGTTGAACATTCCAGTCGAAATGACAATGGCAAAGCGATCTCACCTCACAACTTATGGCCGTTTTCCATCTAAACTATATGTTTGGATAATTTTATTCGATTTAAATAAAGTTGTCAAGCCAATATGATCTAAGCCTGATTTTAACTTAGAAAATAGTGCAAAAATCGTTCACAAAACACACATATCTGACCAGTCATATGAAGAATGCATTGAATTTTAACACTTAGGCAAATCATAATATTACAATCTGTTCTTTTTTCTCGGTGTCAGAAAAATGTTACGTCTCTGTATGTTTGCTTGTTGATTCTTGTATTGCTGTCATCAAGTCTGCTAAGCAGTAGTTCGATTTTCCGCC